TTATATTTTTATATTTTTATATTTTTATATTTTTATTAATTTAAATTATAATATTTAAAAAAAATTTTAAGTTAATTAAATAAACCAGATTCAATTTTTTTAATCATTAATAATCACCCATAAATGAAGCATAGAGATACTTCTAAAGGTATTCTACAGAATATATTTGAATCCCTTCCTTTTAAGCATGTAGAAAGAGGGCAGAAAAAAAAGATAGAATTTGATGGAGTATATTCAATAGTAAAATCACTAAAATTTAATTAAATTACAGTTTATATTTATTTACTAAATAAGTAACCACTAAATCACTTCTTTCTTTTCTGAAACCATGTCTGACAAGAATTGATTTTAATCCTCTTACACCCTTCTTAAAATATTTTTCTCTGTATTTGATATAATCTGAATTCAATATTTTCATTTTCTTGCAAAATTCAAGCTCATTATCTTCACATAATTGCAATTTGTGCTTGGTCTCTAATAATATGTTCTTTGTTTTAAAGATTAACCCCAATCTTCTATATTCTGCCAATTCCTCTGCTGTTTCTAATTTAGATGGTTTAATTTTTTTATGCATAGAAAAAAAGAGTTTTTCAGAAAATTATATTTATAGTTTTAGTATTAAAATTATTCCCTGGCCGGGAATCGAACCCGGGCCGACTGGGTGAAAACCAGACATCCTAACCACTGGACCACCAAGGATATTTCATCAAGAATGTGTGTTAATATTGCAATGTACTTCTGATTTCTATTTTAATGAATGTAATTTATAAAAGATATTTAATAAATGATTCTTATGGTATTATTTGATAAATATTTACAGAAACATTAATATTAAATCAAACATGCTCCAATTAATCAATTGATTAATAATTCTTAATTGTTAAAATATAAAATTATGCTTTAAAAAAATTTTAGTTGAAAAAAATAGAAGGCAAATTAATGTAGATTATGTATTTTGTGATCACAAACTCCCTTAAAATATGTGGTTTGGAATATAAGTATCTCTCTTTATTCCTATTGAATTATTAATTGCTAATTCGAGTAATTTAGAATATACTGTTATAACCTATAACAAAGCTTTATTTTTTTATATTTATAGATTAACTTAATATTAATATTTAAATAAAAAACCTTGAAACCCATGCCAGCTAACTCAGTACACAATAGCACCTATTCTTTATATAAAACTCCTAAAGTAGATTCTATTTACTTAAACTACATACTTCTTGGTCGATATCCCCAGGGATCCGACAATAACTCATAAAAATATAATTTTTGTCTTTAGTATTGTTTCATTATCAATGTTTTCAATCCAAGAAAGCTTCAGGGAATATAAAATCTTTGTTGATATGTTCTTTATTTAATAAGCGTTTGTGATATTGTAG